ATTCGATTACAAAGCAATGATTCTTATATGGAGGATCGATAAGTTCGATTTCGTAGCTTGCATGGGAGCTTTCTTTGGGGTCGTTTTCGCCTCTGTCGAGATAGGCCTTCTCATCGCTGTATGTGAAAAGAAGAAAAAAAAAACGTGATTCTTGATTCTTTGGATTTTTTCACACAGTTCACACATCAGACTGTTTCTTGATAAATATATATATACAAAAAACAGGGGGCTATATCTTTTGCCAAGATTATTTTTCAAGTGACGAGGCCTAGGACAGTAGTTCTTGGTCGAATACCGAGGACTACGGTGTACAGAAACATTGAGCAATATCCAGAGGCAACTAAGATTTCTGGGATTATGATTGGGAGAGTTGATTCCGCAATCTATTTTTCGAACTCGAACTATATCGGGGGGAGGATGTATATATATCATATATGAATGCCCTTTTTCTTGAAGTTACTAGAAATGACCCAACCTTAGCGCATGTGTATATAATGCAGGATATACGACTGCTTACGAGGAAGAGGACCGTATTAATGAAGATAATCGAGAAAGAATCCGGTTCTTGATAGTCGAATTATCACGTACAAATTCTCAAACCGAACCCGAAACCACAATTTTGTTCGAACGTAGATCTGTCTAATACATTCCGTTTATTTTTCTGTTTCGCAGCTGTGACGGATATAGATACTAGTGGCATTCATGCATTGGAAGATTTGTACAAGAGCCTACAGAAGAGAGATATACAGGTAAAATTATTTCTGGCAAGTGCACCTAATATAAATACAGGGGATTGATTATATATATATATATATATATATATATATATATATAATTAACTGTTATATATATATATATATATATATATATATATATATAATTAACTGTTTTGTTGTTGATATGCAGCTTGTTGTAGCAAATCCAGGGCAAGTGGTGCTAGACAAGCTACATAGTTCTGGTTTTGTCAAAACAGTTGGAGAAGACGCCGTTTTCATGACCGTTGGAGATGCTGTCTTCACTCTGGGCCATATATCAGAGCCTTAGATAAATTTTTTACGGTATCGATTTTTTCAACGTGTTTATGGCTCGTATATAAAATTTTATATTGGTAGTGAGTGCAACTAATATTTGTCTTGGCACAAGGTAAATGTGAAGTAAATAAAAGCATACATCAATAAAAAGGTCAAATAGAAAGTCTCGTCTCGGTCAACACTACAAAGTACTAACAAATACTCAGAAATCGAATCATATATGTATGTACTCCTCTCACTCCGGTCTCAACATATCTAAAAAGACTAGTGTAAATATGCGATAAACTCTCCCCTAAATAGTAGTTCTCTCAAAATAAAGCGTACGAGACAGCAATCACAGTGGTAAAAAGGAGCAACTCAGTCGACACCGCGAGTGCATAAGAACCCGAGTTACCGCCACCAGGAGAGGGTGCCGGAGCAGCTTCGTTAACTCCACCACCAGCCGCCGGAGCCACTGCGGCTGGGCTGGGAGACACTGCAGCCAGTGGCGAAAAAGCTGCAGCAAAAAATAGCATCACACAATCATGTCAACAAGAAAAAGAATCGAGCTTCGATTTAAAGTTTCTAAGATCACTATTAGACTAATTCATATCAAAAATCACATTTTAAAAACATTGTTGAAATCCACCAAGGTCGAAAGCAAATGCGAAATCAAGAAAATGTGGGGTGGGGGGTCATTAATTAATTCCGGCACGCCGTTTTTGCGTCAGGAAGGTGACAATAATAAATAACATGCCCTACACAATCCCAGAAGAACATGATAAATAATAAAAGGACAAAACAGAGTAAATAAACTTACCCCAAATTCACACCTACACGAAGAAAAGAAGATTACGGAAACATCACACAATAAATTAGGTTCGGTCCATGTGCAGACGGAACTACCGGAAATGGAAAGGGAAAGGAACTACGACGCATAACAAATTCGGTTCGGTCTATGGGCAGACGGAACTACCGAAAAACGGAAAGAAAATACGACACATAATAAATTTGGTTCGGTCTATGTGCAGACGGAACTACCAAAAAAGGGAAAGAAACTACGACACATAATAAATTCGGTTCGGTCTATGTGCAAACGGAATTACCGAAAAACGGAAAGAAACTACGACACAATACCGATCAGAACCACGGAAAAACGAAAAGAAACTACGACACGATACCGATCAGAACCAGAACCGATTAAAAGTTGATAAGCAAGTTGAACCCACATTAATTCCAACATTTAAGGTTAAAATATGCAAAAGAGGAATCAGATTTGTGTTTACCTGGTGCAGCTCCACCACTCACTGTTGCAGGTACAAAAAACCAAAAAAAAACGAAGGTTATTTTAGAGAGAGAAAATGAAACCCTAAAAAATTGAGAGATCGAGCGAAAAATGTTAACGGGAAAGAAGCTTACAGGCGCAGTTGCTAACGGAAGGAGCGGACACGTGGCAGGCGGTGGGGAGAGCTAGGGCTTTGGTCAAATTGAGGGTGACTCCAAGCTGGGCGCTGTTCTTAAACGCCTCGCACAGGCAATCGGCGTCGGTTTTGAGGACGGTCTTCAGCCCCGAGCAGCACTGGCCGTTCGGCTTCGCCGCCGTGCCGCCCTCCGTCACGTACGGCAGGCAGTCCGCCATTTCCAGAACCAGACTCGAGCAGTCCACCCCCGGCGTCGGCGCCGAATGCGCCGCCGAGATGGCGGCCGCCAGGAGAGCGAAGAGAATGCAGAAGAGTGGGAATCTGAAACCTAGTGCCATTTTTTTAATCTCTGTTGATCGGAATTGAGAAGTGTGATGAAAAACAATGGAGAGTGAGGACTGTGTGACTGCGTGGGGGGTTTGTATATATATATATATATATATATATATATATGTACCTGGGAAGGGGTGGTGGCAGTATTGGAAAATTTGGGGGGTTTTGAGGGGTATAATTGGAATGAAGGGACACGTGGAGGGGAGCTAAGTAATGAGGTGTCTGTTTTCTCGGGGTTTTAAATTTTGAATTTTGGACGAAGCTCAGGGGCATGAATGACATTTTACCATGATTTTCTTACTTCGGGCAATTTGGGGGTATAATTCGAATATTAAAAAATTTAGAGGGTTAAAATATAAAATTAATTGGCCCTTAATTTATTTTTATTTCAAATTTAAGAATTTTATATTCATAACATTTATTTCGACAATTTATGATGGGCATTGAATGCTCGAGATACGGCGATTGATTTTAAATTAAATGTCATGCTAAATTACAATTGCCCCCTAAAATATGATCTATTTACAAAAATATCTCTTTATTTTTCAATAGTTACATCCGTCCTCTTGAAATTAATAGATTTCTCACATCAACATCTTTTTTTAAGGATGGATGTAAGAAATTTATATATTGTAGGGGTCTGGTGTAATTTCTTAAATATAAGGGGTACTTTTGTAAGTAGGTTTTTACCTCAGGGAGTGGATGTAATTTACCCCTAAATGCTATGCAATCTTTTTTCCATCAAATTTCCTTTTCAAATTAATTTTTTTCCAGTCCAATAGTTTCTAAAATTTGATGAGACACTATGATATTAGGAATAATTTACACTTTCATCCTCCTTTTCAGGAAATGATTTAATTCATTATTGTGAAATGCCGTTTTTGCCCTCAAGCCCAAGAACTAGGCCAATCAGATTTGATTCTGAAATGTAAAAAAATCACACATTTTTATTGTGAATTGTTTCACATGTATCAATCTTGTTTTGACTAATGGTCAAAGTTGAAACAATCAAATGATCTAAACCACACATTTTATCACACGAAATTGTCACTTGTAACCGTCAGCCCGAGTATTAGACTATTAGTTGAACGAATCTTTGGTTTCGTTACAATTTCATTTTATTTTTTCTGAAAAAATGAATTCGTCGTGTTTGTTAAGTTTTTCAAAAAATCCTCAACAATTTCAAAAATTTATCTCTTTCTCCATTCATGATTTGACTACAGTAAAAAGAAAATTGACTTGTGCGGTAAAAAAAAAATATCTTTACTGGAAAAAAACAAACATCAATTTATTTTTCAAAACACATTTAAATATGATTTGACAGCTGCAATATATGTGTTTCTTCTCAAACTATTTCGATAAATGTTAGTTGATCGTATATTTCATTATACATCTACAAAATATAAACAAACATTACTTTCATTGTCAAATTATTATTTCGAAACACATTTCCTCAAAATAAATTGAAAATAACACTCAAAACGATTCCAAACATCGATTTTTGTTCTTCCACAAAGTCATCTTTCTTTATTCTTTCCTTAGAGACCTCACACTAGCTTAAAGAGCCACATGTAGAGTGGGATGGGAATACAATTCCCATGTAAAATATGGATTCTTTTTACCACATGAAGCCATGTATATTATCAAATATTCCTCATAAACTTTAATATATATACTTTGAATTTCGATTAAATTCAAAAATCAGAAAGAAAATAAAATATTCCAACGTTAAAAGAAAAAAAATTCATGGATCAAAATCGAGAAAGAACTCGAAAATCACGTTCGATTTCCACCACTATCACGAAGTTCAAGTATTGTTTAAATCTTAATTTTGATCAATTTCCTTCATCACTTTATTTCCATAGACAAAGTACATATACAATTTACAACTCCCCTTTGTAAGAAGTGAGATCACAAATTTCGAGACTCCAATTTTCTTCCGACCACGGATACAATAACCGCCACGTCGTCAATCTTGCCACCTGTGTAACCCGCAAAGCCTGCCACCTCAGCATCATCGCCAAACGGGCTCCTCCCAAATGCAGAGCCACCTCTCTCTTGCGCCTCTCTTGCCAGCAGCTCCGCTATTTCCTGCAAATATTCAATCATTAATGCAAAATTGCAAATTGAAAAATTTACGTCGCGTTTGTTTTTGTATATATATTTCATAATTTTCAATTCCGTGGAAATATAGTACCTCGGGTTTTTTATCATCGGCAAGTGACTTGTCAACTATGGACGAAATTTCTCGATCGTATAAATTGTCGAGAAGTCCATCAGTAGCGGTAATAATCACATCCTCTTCCTCTAAATCGACACTGTACAGCTGAAGCAATAAAAGAAATAACCAACACATTTGAATTAATTAATTAATTAATACATTTATAGTTTTTAATTCACTAGAATTGTTTGCAATCATACTTTTGAATTACCTCTGCAAGAGAAGAGGGGTCGTCGCTCCTTTCGATTCGACGTGGGAAATAAAATGCATGGTGCATGGGAGAAGATCTCTTGTATACATCACCGCGTCTTAGGACAATAAATCCCGAGTCCCCAATATTAGCAACGTGAAGAGCCTGTCAGCGTAATTTAATATCATTTCTTAAATTCGAGCTTCTAATATTTTAAGAAACAGTAATATTTTATTTTCGTAACTAATACGAGTATCTGTATTCTCCTATAGTATGAGGAAAACATCAAATAAGGTATAAATATAGATGACAAGTAGGAATATTCTGTTGTGTTATTTACGACATGAATATAATCGAAATAACATAAAATTTCAAGAAAAAATAAAAAACGGAGGACACGTGTAAGTTCGTTATCAATACTAACCTGACCATCAAACTGAGCAATCAAAACTGTTGATGAACCAGCAGAGCCCGTTTCATAAACACCGAGTTTGAGCAATTCGACAGGGTTATTTACCGAATCGCCATTGCAATTTGAGATGAGCATTTCGCAGTTTTTTACGAGCTCTTGAGCATAAACTCCCGTTTCGTTCCCTATCGAGAGAAGTACATATCATGTTTTAAGGACAAAGAACGAGGAATTGTAGGCAAAAATGAATAAAAATAAAATTAAAATAATAGCGAACGAAATAATACGAGGATGCAATAGTACCTTGGAATGACCATTGACCAACACCATCAGCTACACCTAGCCATGTTTGACCGGTAATAAAATACGCATCCTCTCCACCTGTCAACACCTGGAATTTATTAATATTTCCCCATTACTCGACCATACGTACATATCGCGAAGCTAGAAATATATATATATAACTATATTGATATATTCTTCGTAAGAATCTCGATTTATTCACATACCTTAGAGGGATGTGGCAACAGAGCAGCACCCGAAGATAGAACAAATTCGGTTGATACGATTTCCCGACTGTTAAGAAGTTGTTAAAGTTTATATAATTATTAAATAGTATGTTAATTACACGGATAAAATAATCAAAACAGCATTGACCGATAGTCAATGAAAAACCTCGTTGTGGCAGATTCAGTCGGTTTCAGCTCCGCCACTTCGTGTAGTGATTCTTCTATACTATCATCACTCGGTGCTTCGTCATCGGCTTCGGTAATTTCCGGCCCCACGGATAAGTCCTGAGTCATTTTGTTAAGTACATGGTCAACAAAAATCGTTTTCGGTACTTATATTTAAAATTTGAGCTTATGGTGACCGATTCAACTAACCACGGTTAGGCTCTCAGCCCCGTCATCTTTCTTGGATTCTTCAACGGTAGCTTCCTCATCGAAGACTGCGTCAGCTTCCAACTGAGTCGACAACACAGTCGTTAACTCAGTGTCATTCGAACTGCTTCCATTTTCGTTACCAACTATGGCATTTTGAACACCAAGAATCGCAGTGTCCGTTTCATTACCTTCTCCAATTTCTTCGGACACACTTGTTATAGCTGGTTCCGACTCAGTCAAGTCAGTTTCAAAACTTTCTCCGCCATCTTCGATGATTTCAATTTCGATCTTGCTTTCCACGTTCGTACGTTTATCGTCCACGCACACATCATCGTTTTCGGGAAGAGTAGTAACTGGATCGGGAGTCGAAGAATCCAACGCGGTGACATCAGCAGCTTCAGTTTTGAACAATTCGACTGTAGTAATATACATCTCTATTTCAGAATTATATCCAAGAATAGAGGGGGCATCATCAGACGGGCTTGAATCGGCACTACCGTGAAGAAATTCATAGTCGGGCGCAACGGTAACTGGATCGAGAACCACAAAATCTGACGTGGCTACTTCTTCAGCAGTTTCGTTTTCCAATAATTCCTCTGTGATAATATGATTCTCCATTTCGGAACTATTATCAAGAACAGAAGCATCTGATTGGCTTGAATCGGCACTAACTTGAAGAAACTCACTGTCGGGCCCCACACTAACTGGATCGAGAATCAAAGAATCCAACGTGGCTACTTCAGCAGCTTCGTTTTCCAACGTAGTAATGTTGTTATCCTCCGTTTTGTAACTGTTTTCTGATTGGCTTACATTCTGCGCTATCTCAACACCAGAAATACAAGTATCGGTAGCGTGGTTTTCCGACAACTCCGATGTAGTGACGTTGTTCTTCATTTCGGGACTCTTTTCATTTAGACCTTCATCCACATTTTCAGTCGAAGGAATTTCCGCGTCTGTACTTGAAATTAAAACGGGTAATTCACCATCACTTGATTCTTCCAACAACTTCTCACACAAGTCACTATTTTCTTCAGATACAGTACGGCTTTCATCGCTAATAATTACCGAATTTGTGTGGTTATCGACCTCGGTCGAGCTAAAGCCAGATATATCCGAATCGGCTTTCTTCACCGCCACCTCTTTTTCACGAACAC